ATCTACATCTACATCAACAACAACAACATCAGGAAGAAGATCAGCATCAGCAACAACAACAACACCAACAACAACAACAACAACAACAACAACAACAACAACAACAACAACAACAGCAACAACAACAACAACAACAACAACAACAACAACAACAACAACAACAACAACAACAACAACAACAACAACAACAACAACAACAACAACAACAACAACAACAACAACAACAACAACAACAACAACAACTGAAACAGCAACTTAAACAACACCTTTGCCATGAGCGCGGTGCCAAAGCCGCCCTCGTAGTTGCGGCTGGAGGGCACGCCATCCATGACGCCGGGGCAGGGGTTGTATGTGTCGCTCGACCAGCAGCGGCCCGTGGAGGTGTTGATGATGCCAGCAAGCACCTTCGGGTCCATGCCAAGACTGAACGGTGTGACGATAGCATGGACCATCGTCATTGGCGTGTGAGCGACAGCAGGGTCGAAAAGCGAATAACAGCGAATAGCACGTACAGATCTCCGCCACCACACCGGCCCAAGCCAAGCTAAACACATGCATGTACACTCGTGCATGTGTTTGCACAGACACACATTGACACACACACACACACAGATACACAGACAAACACACACACACACACACACACAACAGACACACACACAGACACACATAACGCCGCTGAGCATACCGCTTGCCCATGTTCATGGCCTCGGCGGTACCAATCATGCCAATGGCGAGCAGCATGTTGTTGCAGATCTTGGCAACCTGTTGTGCACGCAACGACGAAACATGGTGGAAGCGCGCGCGCGCGCGTGTGTGTGTGTGATCGAGAGGTGCAGGGTTCAGGCGTTCATCGTCGCACACACGCGCGCGGACACACCCGCATGCATGGAAAACCACAACACAACCCAATCCAATCACACCCCCCCCCTACACACCTGTCCCGTGCCGTTGCTGCCGCAGTGGACGAGGTTCTTGCCCATGTGCTTGAGGACGTCGCTGGCGCGGCCAAAGGCCTCGTCAGTGCCGCCAACCATGAACGTCAGTGTACCGGCCTCTGCGCCACCAACACCTGCAAGGTGGAGTACACATGTTCATGGTATAAGGTGACGGCAGGTGCAAATAAATAACAGTTTCGCACACGAGTGTAAACATCTGCACGGCGATGCACCCGCGTGTGTTTCACAAGCATACAGTTGTCACTCACACCCACACACCCACACCCACACAGACCCACACAGGCACACACACAAACACACACAGGCACACACACACACACACCACACACACACACACACACACACACACACACACACACACACACACACACACACACACACACACACACACACACACACACACACACACACACACCACAAGGTCGAAAAACTGACCGCCAGAGACGGGGGCATCAATCATGACGGCGCCGCGCTTGGCGGCCTCTGCAGCAAGGTCCTTGGACAGAAGAGGGTCAATGGTACTGGCGTCAATCAGGAGGGAGTTGGGCTGCATGGCACTAAAGATGCCGGCCTCATCACGGTACACACCGCTCACATGCTGGCTACACAGGAAGGCAACAAATCGCAGAAAGAGGCGAACAAGCGCGTGAACACCGCGCAAAATACCGAGGAAACAGCTAGGCAGGCAATAAAGGAAGCAACAACGGCAGCAAAGCTACACGCGACTAGGAGAGCACACACTTCTTCATACGCTACACATGCGCGCACACGGGGGCGCGGTTGTGCATCACGCAAGCAGGCAGACATCGTACTTGGCAGGAAGCATGGTCACGACGGTGTCGACCTGCGAAGTGACCTCGGCAGCCGTGTGCACAACGGTCGCCTGGTTGTTGTTCAGTTGAGATTCGGTGCACAGGAATTCAGTGCACAGAGTTCAGTGCACGTGAGTGAGCGGGGAGAAGCGACATCGACGGCACTGTAAGCGCAAGGAATGAAACGAATAGCACACAAAACAGCAGCACAAACACACACACACACACACATGAGAACGCACACATACACACACATACACATAGACACATTCACACAACACACATACACACGAGAACGCATACACACACACACACATAGACACATTCACACAACAGACACACACACACACACACACATCCACGGAGCACGCTCAAACGCACACACATTCACACACACGCACACACACATTTAGGCACCCTGAAACACACTCACGTCGGCGCAGTCTGACGCAATCGAGTTGGCAATGTCCGCGTTGACGTCGTGAAGAACCAGAGAGCAGCCGGCACGACCCAGGTTGCGAGCCATGTGCCCACCCATGTTTCCAAGACCAATAAACCCCACGCGTTGGCCCTGAGCAGAGGCCGACACAGAGAGGCAACGCACACCCTGCAGCAGCGCGCCACTGCGCACCACTGGTCGCACAAACACACGGCCAAGCATCCCTGCTGGTCTCTTCCTTCTGCTTGTGTTCCAAGGCGATCTTGGATGATGAGAAATAGCTATATCTTGCCACAAATATCGGCCTGCAACCGCCACATTCAAACAGCCCAGAAGCCAGCCAACCAACAACAACAACGATGCTGCTGGAGACGTTGATCGAGGGCGGACCAAACTTGCCATGGGCCACGCTCTGTGCCGTGAGCGACCCAGCCTTTCCCGATCACGTCAGTGAAGCATGAGCATGCTCATGTGGTTGTCTGTCGATGTGTGGTTGTCTGTGGACGTGTGGATGTGTGTTTGTGTGGGTGTATCTTGTGTATTTGTGGATGTGTGCGGAAGGTGGGATGCACAACAATGTGCACACCCACGTTGGTTGCATATGTACATGTACATGCATGTATGCGAGCGTGAAGTGCATGCGCGTGCAATAGCAGTGGCGTGTCCATTGATCGCATGGTATTGTGCAGCTGATCACAGCGCGTCTGCACCTGTGCTTTTGAAATGTTCGAGTGCAGGCGTCATGGGTCGTGTTGCGGGACAATGGAACCGTGGCTTTGCTGAGAGCGGAAACAACCGCCTCCAGCAACATGTTCAAGAGCTACGGATGTCCAAAGCAGCTCCTCAACACCAATGTCCACGTTCTCGCAGCTTCACCATGCGGTGCGTTCACAGCTCATTGTCAGCGCTTGGCTGCAAATGACCAGCTTGAGTGCTGACGGTGATGCATCCCACCACAACTGGCTGGTACACGCTGTTGCCACACAGCAATATACGCAAATGCATTCACGCATGCATGGTCGCTCACACTGTCTCCCTTTTTTCTTACTCTCGTGTTTTCCTCTCGCTCCTACAACATTGCTTTCACAGCAACACGCGTGGTGCTCGTCACGGCTGAATTGCTGTTGGCGGTGTGGGGCATTACCACCTCCTCATTAATCAAGGCCAGACTCCCGGCGACGATCACAACCCACCATCGTAAGCCTATGCACCCGTGAGCGAACCGAGGCTGCTTGATCTACCACAAACACCTTTACATTGTATACATTCCCACGACCGTACAAGCACATGCAAGTTCATACATACACACATGCAAGCACATACAAGTACACACGCACACATGCACACGCACACATGCACACGCACACATGCACACGCACACATGCACACAAGCACATGCACACAAGCACATGCACACAAGCAAACACACACACACAGAGCCAGCCAAACGCAAGTTTCCCCCAACATCAGCTCACCTGTTCTCTCCCTCTCTCCCCCCTTTCGGTGCGGATGATAGTACCTGGTCTGAGCGTGGCGTGTTCTCGGCGATCATCACCAACCACCGATGCCTGTATGGACTCAAGAACAGTTGTAGCGCTGGCAAGCAGGGATGCTGTATTCGTTGCTATGATCCCAGCACACAGCCACGACCGTGACAACACGGAAGAACCCGCATGGAAGCATATGCACATGCCCTCGCTGCCAGACCAACCAAATCAGCAACGACAACAGACACAACAGCAACAGACACAGCATCAACAGCGGTTTCTGGCTTGCAGCAATGACGTTGTGGCGTGGCTTCGTATCTCGCTGTGTTTGTCTGACATAACACGTCCTGTTCTGGTCTCCCACGGACAACTTGCTGTCGAGGAGAAGATGATGACACACACGCTGCCTAATGACGATGGTGATGGAGGTCGTGGAGCTGCAACTGCTGCTGCTGCTGCTGCAACTGCTGCTACTGCTGCTGCTGATGATGATGATGATGATGCTGCTACTGCTGCTAATGATGATGGTACGCTGCTTTCAGCGCTCCACCACGCCATACCATTGGCACCGCCCGCATCCACAGCCTCAGATGCATGGGCCAGGATTGTGCTTGCACGCCTGTCGCCCTCGGCCCACATCTGGTGCATCGCGGCAACGGCCACAACACAGCATGAAGGTGCGGAGAGAAGCACCCACGCCTGTGCTCATGTGTTGTGGGTGTATGCATTGTGTGTGCGGGTGTATGTGTTTGTGTCTGTTTGTGTGTTTTGCGCGTGTATGTGTCTGTTTGTATGTTTTGTGTGCGTGTGTGTGTGTGTGTGTGCGCTCCTTTGCGTGTGTGTGTGTGCGCTCCTTTGCGTGCGTGTGTGCATTCTTTTGTGTGCGTACGTGAGGCGTGTTTGCGTGCTGGATGAATGCATGTGCGCCATTAGCGCCTCGGTTTGCTGAACCTGATGCATGATCTGTCGCGGCAGCCTCGTTCTCAACACCGCACTGTGCACACATCCTTCAATGCTTTGCGACAGGCTGCGACAACACTGCTTGTCTCGCATTTCTGCTCGCTGCACCACCGTCATCATCATCGTCGTCGCGTGGTTCACAGCGGTTCTCCCCACCGACATGCTGTGTAGAGCACATCACCGCACCAACACCAGCAGCAACACTTCGCGACATGTGCTGGGACTCCAAGGGCTGGAGCGTCATCTTGGTGCGTAGCATACATACACTTGTCTCTGTGTGTACGCATATGTACATGTGTAGGCGTGTATTTTACTTCTTGTTGGTGCTTGCGTGTGTGTGTGTGTGATGTGTGTATTGTATCCCATGTCCTTCTTTCTTGTTGCACAGCGTTGCATGTACTCTTTTCCCCTGTACCATTCCTGATCACATTTCGATTTCACCAACACGCACACACACACACACACACACACACACACACACACACACACACACACACACACACCCGTTCACAGCTCTGGTCCACTGGTCACTTGACGCTGGTGCCCGTCAACACATCGCCATATTCCCTGTGCGAGCCAGCAGGTATTGATCTCTTCCACGAGAGCAGAAGTCTATGGCACACACACGCACGCACACACACGCACGCACGCACACACACACACATACACACACAGACGGATTGGCATAAGCACCTGTTTTGGTTCTCCAGCTGTCTGCCTCGCCTCCAGTTCCAACACAGACACAGACACACACACACACACACAGACACAGACACACAGACACACACACACACACACACACACACACACACACAGACACACACGCACACACTGGCAACCTCAGTTGACTGTTGTGTCACACTTGTGCTCTTCCCGCTGTTTTGGTTTCTCTGCATTCCGTTGTTGTGCGTCAAGGCTCCGTGCACGTGCAGCAGCCTCAGGCAACGCTGGCGCCACTCAGCAACACGCTGTGCCCGCTGCCCGCGCGTCGCTACAACTCTCTGCGTGATCACTTTGCACAGGTCTCTGTATCCACGGGCCGCCGCCTCGCTGTCCTCGCCTTTGATCGCCCAACCCCAATCGCGTGTGCTCTCACTTCTCCGTCACACCATCGCCAGCTGCCGCGCAGTCGATCGCGACCACCTCAACCACCACAGCCATCACCGTTATCACCGCCATCACCGTCATCGTTGAGCAGCGCTGCCGAAGATGGCCACGATGGCGGGGGTGGTGACCACCACCTCGACCACCACCACCACCACCACCAGCAGCAGCAGCAGCAGCAGCAGCAGCAGCAGGAGCACGACGATACCGATGCTCCTGCGTTTCTGGCTCGGCTGCACGGCATTGCCGCCGCATGCACATCTGCTGTCCCTACAGCAACAGCAACAGCAACAGCAACAGCAACAGCAACAGCAACAACAACAGCAACGGCACCAACAACAGCAACGGCACCAACAGACAGTGTTGTGCAAGAGGTGCTGTTGCTGAGCGCGTATCGAGCAACGGCGCGTTGCTTTGGCCGCAACGTGGAGCAGCTTCTGCTCGCTGAACAGCAGCTGTGTGTTGTTCTTCCTGGCCTTTCAGCGGCAGATCTGAACGCAGTGCTTGTCTGGTTGCCTCGACGACTCGTGACCGTCCAGTCCGCGAGCAGCGCTGTGCAACCGCCATCAGCGGTGGCAGAAACAGTGAAATCAGACACCGCAATGATTGCGCAGCTCCTGTTCCCCGTGCTATTGCAGCCTCTTGTGCGAGCAGCGCTCCTGAAGGAATTGCCACACCTGGAGGACAGCGCCAACAGTTCCTCTGATACCACCACCGCCATCGATGGCGGTTCGGGAAATGTACTTGATGTGCACACGTTCCTCGCTGCCACCGAGGGCATATCAGCGCCCTCCCAGCTGGGCCAGCGCCGGGACGCTGTGCTGTCGTCACTTCGCCGCGTCATTCACAGCGTGCAGCGGATGGCCACGGCACCGACAGCCCGCGAGTTAGAACGGCATCGAATCATGCGCGAGTTGGAGGAAGTGGAGCGACTGCTGCAGTGGCGGCGTGACTTTGGAGACATGCACATGTGGGCGGACATGCTTGCACTCCCGCTTTTGGACGCGCTCACCATCACAGGTGTGCGTGCGTATGCTTGCGCGTGTGCGAGTGCACGTGTTTGTGTGTGTGTGGACATGTTTGTGCTTGCGTGTGTGAGTGACTTGTTACATGCGTATGCTCGCTTGTCCCTGCCACATTCGTGCATGTGACTGACACGACCGCACTGCCCATGCTACTGCTACTTCATGCATTCATACCAGGTCTCTCTGTGGATCACACGCGTGTGTCGAGAAGGGTGCCTTTGCTCTCCGAATATCTCGGGCAGCGCTCGACCCAACCACACGCGAGCATTGAAGGTTTGATGAATGTGAACAGATGTGATTTTTGTCTCTCGTCTGCTTGTGTTTGTGCTTGCGCATCTCCTTGAATGTGTACGTGTGTGAATATGCTCAGCTGCAATTACAACACACACACACACACACACACACACACACACACACACACACACACACACACACACACACACACACACACACACACACACACACGCACGCACACACACACGCACGCACACACAAACACATACACACACACACACAAACAGACATCACTGTTGATGAGGAGCAACACATGGTGACGGTGACACGCCGTGCTCTGAGGGCGGGGCAGCTGGACAATGCCTGCAAGCAGCTGCAATTGCTGTGCGGCCTGCCATCCGCGCTGAGTTCGTTGTGGTGGAACGAAGATATTGTGGACGGCAGCAATCTACGCATCGCTGACACATTGAATCAAGTTGCCCAAAGTCTTCGCTCGTTCTTACCCTTCACTCTTGGCCACAACAGGCAACATGTGAGTGCGAACATGCGCACGTGTGGACATGCAAGCATGAACACCTTGGTGCTAAGCGTTCCAACATACGCTTGCTGCATGGCGCTGGCTACCTTTGCTGCATGACTACATGTTATGTTCCTTGTCATGCTCTCACGTGTCGCGCACTTGTGTTGTTGTGCACAGGGCCTGGCTGCTTGTCTGGACGCAACGTGCGACATTGATGACATGGATGACGACGAGCAATCGCTACTGCACGTATCCCGCCTCCATCGCTGGCTCCTGCTCTCAGGTACGAAACGAACGAACGAACAAACGAACGAACGAACGAATGAATGAATGAATGAATGAATGCATCAAGCTTGCATGCACGCCACAGTGGGGTACAATGATGTTGATAATTCGCACAACAAGCAGGCCGTTGGATGAGCGGTTGGCCTACCCCCCCCCCTTCGTTTCCACCATCACAGCCACCCATCCCTGAGTTTCGTCCGGAACACCCTCACACTTCTCCGAACGCATCCCTTCTTCTTGTGCCTATCATCTGCACAGATGAGACGGACAGGGCCGTTGAGTTGCTGCAGACGCGCGGAGATTGGTTGCTCGCGTACACCATTGCTGTTGCCCGCGATGTCACTCCAAACGCTCTTGCTCTCGCTCGTCCCATCTTGCTGCGCGCTTGCTGGCACGCCGACTTCTCGGTACGTCGCATCCAAGCAGCGCGCGCCATGTGCTCTCATTTCTATCGAATGTGGATGGAACAGTGTGAGGTGAATGGCTTTGCGTGGCATGTCATGGCTGGTTCTTTGTTGCTCGTGCAGTGGGTTTTCAGCAACACTAAACCGTATGTTTTTGTGCGTGTATGTGTTTGTGTATTGTGCATGTGTGTGTGCGTTTGTGCGTTTGTGTTCGTGTGTGTTTCGTGTGCGTGTGTGTATGTGCCATGCATGGTTGTGTGCGTGTGTCATGCACGGCTGTCGGTAATGTGTTGCGGCGCCTCAGCCATGGATGGAAAGCCGCGTCACGCGAGCTGCTGTCATCGCGGGAGATGTGGATGTGGTCCTGGCACTGCTCGAGGTTGGTCGAGTTTGAGTGGTCTGTTTCACTTGCCCTGCGAGTTGAACGTGTGTCCAAGGAGCAGGCACAGCCAAAGTTCACACTGGCCAGACGCTCACCGCATGCACACGCCCTCACGCGCTTCAAGCACCATCTCTCACCCTCCGCTTCCCACACGCACGCGTAGAACCACCTGCGGACGCTTGGCGAGGCCGTGGGCTCAATAACGCCAGTGGTCGAGCACCAGCGCGACATTCCAGCAGAGAGCGATGACGCCGAGTTTGGGTTTCTGTGTGATACGCAAGAGTTTGATGCGTCCACTTGCTCAACAGGTGTGCGATTCACCCGAGAGACACATGAACGAAGAGGCTTGCTTGAGGCGGGCAACGGTGTCATTTTTTTTTGACACACTCCCTCGTTTTGTCCAACGTTACACACACACACATATATATATGTATACATACACACATACACACATACACACACATACACACACATATACACACACATATACACACACGTACACACGTACATACATGTATATATATATATATACACATACACATATCCACATACACACACACGGCCACACACACACTCCCCCCCCCACACACACACTTATGCATTCGCTCGTTCACATTCACGCACGAACACTCTCGCATGGTCCAACTGTCCACCCGCCTTGTGTGCGTGCAGAGGCTGTGCTGCGGACGATTGCTGGACGTGCAGTCCGCGCATGTGCGGCCATTGTCAACGCGACGGGAGCACTTACAAATATCGACCGTCATGCCGAACCGCCATTGCAGCACTACCCAGTCGTGATTCAGAGGTGCGTCTCAGGGACAACTTTCTTAAACACGAAAGCAATGCGTGCACGCGCGTGTGTGTGTGCGTGTGCTTGCGTGTATGTTTGTGTGTGCATGGCTTGATATTACACAGTAGTCATTGCGCTGCACTCGCTCTCGTAGTCACATTCACAGCACCCCTTGTGCATATCATACGTGTTGCATCCAACTCACGGCCTCGAATTTCGTTTACACACATCATCAAGGGTTGTTCGCCTGTGTTGGGTCCTGCACATTCGCGACAAGTTTTCGCTGCTGTGGCACCAACCTGCCACAGTGGAAAGCGGTCACACGATTGTGCTATTTGCTCAGTGTGGTAAGTGGCTCTGCTGACAGAAAACGCTTAACACTTCTGCTGTGAGGCAACAGTCACAATGACCCATAGCCGTGAACCTGCGCCTGCGCGCAGGCACAACACACACACATGTCACTACAAATATATGCTCACGTGATGCTCACGTCTATTGGACCCATCGACAAACACACACATGCACACATGTCGACACGGTGACACACGGTCACACCCCATAACAAGGGTTGGCGTTTGGCGCGTACAATGTGCAAGAATTCTCGGTGAAGGCAATTGAAGGCATTCCAGACAAGTACAAGCGAGCCAGCATTGCCCAGGAGGTTCAGGCTGCAAATGTCATCGACTCCGCAAGGTCCATTCTGCTGTCCTTGTTTTTGCTTTGTGCTCTTGCCTGCTGTCGCAACGCCTGCGGATTCACCGTGCCCTTGAAAGCTCACCTATGTTGTGTCCTGTCGTGTTCTACACACACACACACACACACACATATGCACATGTAACACACACAAACACGCAACCACACACAAACACACACACACAAACACGCAACCACACACACACACACACACAACGCACACACGCAACACACACACATACACACACGCACACACGCAACGCGCGCACACACACACATACACAACGCACGCATGCAACGCACCGCATGCGTGATTTTGTGTGCTTTGCAGACTGCGAACAAAGCTGGCAGCGCTGGCGGATCTTGGGCGCGATGTCAAGCTTGGGTGCGACCGAGATGCGCGGCACGCTGGCCCCTTTGCCTGTGCAGCGTTTGCAGAGTTTGCACAGCGGTGCGTGCGGCACATTTACTTGGCATCTGCGTCCATTGATGGACTGCCGCATGTGGAGACGAGGTTCGACGTTACAGTTGGTGAGCGCGACCACCACGAACAGTGCATGCTGCGATTACTGGCGTTGAGGGCCGGCCTTGCAACACCTGACTCAACAAAGGAAGACTCTGGCGCGGCCACACAGCGCCTGGCACCACTGGCCGTTGGTGATGTGGCATGTGTGCTAAACGAAGCTGCGAGATCGCGCCAACAGCAGCGTGCAGTGCATCATTCTCAACAGCACAATGTCTCATCCGCTGTGTCGGGCCAAGCGTTGCTCCGAAGCCAGCGTTCGTCATATCCATCCACTTCACAAGCATCAAGCCTCCTTCTTGCCACCACGAGGGCGATGGAGGCTCTTGGGCTCACGCCGCCAAGTTTTTCGCAACAGCTCGACAGGGAATGGTATCGCCAGTGCAATCGACATGTGAGGCGTCACCGGCACCGCAGCAACAGCAGGAACAAGCATCAACACAGCCCGGCCACCAGCATACAAACTACTCAACAACAACAGCAGCCACAACAGCCACAGCAACAACAACAGCAGCCACAGCAGCAACACCAACAACAGCCACAGCAACAGCAGCCACAGCAACAGCAGCATGTAGCAGCAACTTCACTATTGTCTTCCTCCGAATCAGTTGTGTCACGCACGTCAGACTCCACCATCTCCTCCACGCCGTCACGCCAGCTGCCACTGCAGCCGCGCCCCGCACTCTGTCGATCACCGCGAGCAGCTGACAATGTCCTGAGCATCGCAGATGTGCGTGTGCCTGGTGGTGCGAGCGGCAGGATGACAGGCTCTGCACCCCTGCTGCTGTCGCTGTCGCCCTCAAACGCGGGCATGGTCAGCAACCCGTGGCTCCTTGAAATGACGGCAGCGGCAGATGTGACAGCAACGATGGGGTGTACGTCCCGAGCGTCTGCCACGCAGTACAGCGAAGAAGGCGCATGTGCGCTTTCCTTCGAGGCACCAGATGTGCTGCTGGCACCTGATGGCCGAAGGCGAACCCGTGGCTGTGCTCCATCACCGCTCGCCACCAGCCCTCAGCGGCGCCTGTCTTGGTCAGTGTCCGGGGGACAGGCAACGAGCATGGCGACACGCGAGTCCGGCAAATTTGGAGGGCTGCAAACACGCGATGTAACCAGCAGGGACGGCGAGGGGCTGTGCACCCCAACAGCCTTCTCCGGGGCAAGAGGGCCGCGCACACCAGGCTTGGGTGTACTGCAGGATGCTGCGTCAACGGAGTCCTCACCAATCATGCTGGGCGTGGCTTCAACGCCGCGCCAGCACATGCACAAGCAGCGCCAGCATCACTACCCTGCTGCCGTGGAACAGCCAATCCCGTACAGACTGCGTGGCGGCGGGCTCACATCTTTGCACGACAACATACAACAGCAGCAGCAGCGGCAGCAGCAATTGCAAGGGCAGCACGCACAGCAGCAGCAAGGGCAGCAACTTCTGCAGAGTTTTCCCGGCCTGGTCATCGTGCCACCATCAGATGCAGACAGCGGCGACGTGACCTTCGATCAGTCCAACGACGGCAATAGGAGCAGCTCCGACCTCATGGCGCATCAAGCGCAAGCACGCGATGATGCAACGCATCCGCGTGTGCCGCATGTCAATGATGTGAATGACGACGATGATTACGCTTATGATGAAGACGATGGACATGGTTTCTCGCACGCTCACTCTCAGCATCATCACCGCCATCACCACCATCACGTCCCGGTGCCAAGGATGGACAGCAGCGACGATGATGACGATGATGATGATGGTGAAGACAAGGAGGAGGAGGAGGAGGAGGAAGTCACGGCGGAGGCGGTTGCAGGGGCAAGGGCAGATGGTGGGGGTGTTCTGGGTGTGGCGAAACACGCTTGGAGTGGTGAGCATGGCAACATGCCATCATCTTTACAAACAGCAACAGCGCCGCTGAACCGCAGTGCAGCTTCAGACGACGCACTTGCCACCATCCGACTGCCCGTGTTGCGGGGGACGCTGAAGCGAGAAGGCAGTGGCCATCTTGTGTCGCCTTCACAGCGCCTCCAACAAACGCAGTGGCTCTCTCCGCATCAGCGCGGTTGCAATACGAGCGAGGATGCTGCCGAAGAGAGTGCGAGCGAACTTGAGGACTTTGGTCGTGGACACGAGAGCAAGGTGGAACATGACACAGCGAACAATACAGGCGGGGAAGGGCGAGGCGGCTCAAGCGACGGCAAGTTGAAATCGAACGATGCATTAGAATGCGACGCGGAGGACGATGTTTCAGACGCGATGCACAGGGGCGATGTGGGCGATGTTGGAGAGCAAGCGATGGGCACCGAAGCAGCAGAGGACGTGAGTAGCGGAGAGATGATGCCTGTGAAGGTGTTGAACGAGTGGGTGAGAACACCGCCGAGAAAGCATCAAAAGGGCATTTCTCGTGTTCCAACACACGTGACAAGAGGAAGGGGTGACGGCGCAAACGGTACGGACCGTGATCGCACCGACCACGGTGTGTTGCATCGTCAACAAGCCAGAGATACCCAGGGGGATGAGCACGTGTGTGTTGGCCAGCATCGACACACGACATCAACTCATTCTTCTCAGCACGAGAAAGGAAAGAGGTCGAGGCTGGGGAAAGAACAGGCACAGTCACAGCACGCAGAAAGACAAGCAGCGGCACAGTCACAGCACGCAGAAAGACAAGCAGCACCAACGGGCTCAACCCGTGAGAAAAGGCCAGGTCAACAGCAGAAAGGGCAACGACGACAACAAAACGATCATGACGCAACGCGAACTGCACCAAGAAGGCAGCAGCACGACCGTCACACGAAACAGCACACTTCAAGCGCGAGTGCAACAAGGAAGAAACACGTGGCCACGATGCCACCACCTCTGCTGCGGCTGACCACCACAGATGAGGCTGGCAAAGAGAACCAAAACCAACACGCACGGCAGCAGCAGCAGCAGCAGCAGCGCCAGCCGCTGTTGCGTGATCCAGCCAAGCTTCGAGCAGCAAAGAACGACGCAGCACGGAAAGAGCAGACACTCGGGGGCGATGGAGCTGCTGCCCCTTTGCTACGCCTGTTGAAGCAGTCGACACCACCAGACACACAAGTGCAAGGTGGAAGAACGACTATCAAGTGCAACCATGGGCAGTCAGGCCCCCTGTTACTTCGCTTGCCTGCAGCACTCTCAAACCAACAGGCGCCCTCGCAACAGCCCTCTCCAGCAACACCGACACCGACGCCTCGTCGTCGCCCACAAACTGCCGGTGTTGGCATCCCAACACTTGCTTTGGACGTGAGTACGTTGGGTGACACAACAAGCAGCACTGCTGGTTCTGACCCTCTACAATCACAACAACAACAACAACAACAACAACAACAACAACAACAACAACAACAACAACCGCAAGCGTCGCCTTTCGGTGTCACGCATCCAAATCGAACCATGAGACGGGAGCAGCAGCGACGACGACGGCGGCCCCAATCGCAACAGCAGCTGCCGGACGCACACACGCGTGATGCGAACGGTATTCGGAATTGGAGCCCCGCTAGCGATCGGCGTGACGCAGCTATGCAATCTGTGCTGTATGAGCGCGTTGGAAACCTCACGCAGCATGCAGTTCAAGCGTGTTGTGATG